AGGATAAGGCGGTTGGTTTGCGAGAACCTCGCTTCAATTTGCAAGCAGTAGAGGGCGCAAGAAGAAGAGGAGTACTTGTTCTGGATGCGGGCATTGAACCACCAGATGAGGAGGAGGGATGACGCTTCACTTCGGATGGGCGGGTAGATGCTGTTGTTATACCAAGTGAGGCCATGAGCACCTCGTCTTCTGCAGAGAGTGTTGGCGCCTCGGCAGACGATTTGCGAACTTCAGGGGGAGAGAGATGAAGCAAATTGGTTAACTTTTTCCATGAACGAGGCACATTATATGGAGACTAAATAGACTGATTGGTTAAAAATAAAGTCGAGAGTTCGAGTCGCAGAAGACGAAGCAGGAAAAGGAGCCCAAGTCGGACTGTACCCAAAAGGAGACGGGTGAATGAGTATGTAACTCTCGAAAACCCCTATTAGAAAAGAGGAAAATATATACAGTGATTGAAAAGCGATATATACTGGAAATACGGTTAGAGGGGCTTCTTTAAACGATTGCTTTCGTGAATTGACTGCAGGGATGTGCGCAGTTTGCCGACCGTAACTGAGGCCGGCAATTTTCACCAGTTTGCATGTGCGGTCAGAATTAAGAAAAAAGTGAGGTTGTCCAACGAGTCAAGTCAGATCAGGTTTATAAAGGGAAATATAGGTAAATGCCATTGAACCCCCTATTGGCACAGAACAGCTATGAAACGCATTGGTTCAGCAGAACACTCCAACAGGGTATTGATGCCAGTAAATGTAATTGATTAAAAGGAGCAGACAGTGAAAAAAACTCCTTAGGCATTGTTCGGAAATTCTAGAGGTTTGAATGCCATTTGAGGGATTCTAAGGAGAAAAACTGTCGCTCATGCGGGAAAAATATATGCGAAATGGGATGGTCTGCTGCTGAGGGTATTTGAAGCATGTCAGGATATCAATGTCCTAAGGGGCACGTGAGAAGAAGATCGCAGAGGTCACGAGAACATCAGCGAAGTGTCGGGGATGCGCCCAGCATTCGCCGGCGCTGGTCACAGAGTCTGCCGACCAGGTCAACAGCCCTCAGCCAGTATCAGTTTATTGAGGGAGATGTAGGTAGATTGCCCTTGAGTTCCCTATTTGTACATGTGTGTCTTGGTAGGGGAAAAGGTAGGAGGTAAGGTTAATCTGAAACCTTGCTATAAACAACCAAACGCGTTACTAGTTGTAACTTGAAAGATTTTCCGCTATTGAGCTCCGTTGTATTTGAGAATCCCTTCCCCTCTGAATCCTGATCCATTTGGATTTAGGGACGATATTTTGTACCTCTGTCACCCCGCTGCATCGACAACCAACTGCAGTCGCCCTGAATTGTTTTTTTGAGACAAGAGAGGTGTGAGAATAGTAATTGAGGCAGACGCTATTACTTTCTAGGAAAAAAATTGGCGCCACTAGCACCTCTGGGGAATGGTAGAGGACCTGGTTGCTTGCGATGGTCAAACGATCGGATATGATGATATCTCGCAGGTTACCACGAGCCTTGAAAGTACGGGCACAAAGGACGAAATTGGCTGTTGGCAGCATTGCCTCTTAGTAGATCAGTTGAGGCGGCAGTTCGGTATACTTGCTTATTCAGTGGCCAAATCTTATCACTTGCACAGAGTCAGAATAGGCGTTCGTAGCGCAAATGCATTGATCAAAAAATGAGTCGCGTGAATGAAAAAAAAATCAGCAGTTGTGTAAACATGACTTTAAAAAAAAACTAGTGATATATCTCACCAGTACCAAGTGACAAGTAAGAATTGAACAGTATTGCGAACCGCCACAAATAATGGAACCCAAGATACTATACAAAAGCGACTGCTGCGGACGTTTGGGCTAAGAGCATTGAGTTCAAAACCTTAATTTCAACTTATTCAACTGTTAGGAAGACGTCCAATATTGCATACGTCATTCAGGAGAAACAAAGGAGGCTCATAAACTTTTAAAAAAACCTGTTTGAGATTGACAGTTTTTCTCTTAACTTAAGTAAAAATACGACTTAACATCGACATTCTGTGGTAGAATTGAGTAATTAGAGCTCCAGAAAGCAGCTGAGTAAAACATTGAGACCAATGGGATTCAATCGGCCCGATGTTTCGGATTCCCACTGAAACTCATCATCATCAGAAGTGAAGTGAACCCAGCCAGCGCGAACGCTCAACCTCTCGCGGCTGCTAGCGAGTGTCTGCCTACCCCAACCCGGCTGGCCAATCGCCTTCGAGGCCGCCTCACACAGGACCTCACAGTGATGACCGCCGCGCTCTCACACCCTTTCGGACGCTGCCCCTAGTCAAATGCAAACGCACGCTCATCCTCCTGTGAATTTCTTTCAACCTCTTCTTCACTAGCACTGTATAAAATCAACTCTTCCTCCCACCTGGCGTCCTACTTCATCTGAAGATTGCAGCGGCAAAGATCTTCCTTACTAACTTAAGTCAATGCAATAGAGACATCACCTATGGTCGTCTGTGATTATGGGTTCGAGCGAAAAGCCGAAGCATCAAACGTTTAGCGCCAAACTAGATAGGTGGTTGATAGAGCATTTTGAGTAAATTGTGTTACGCTTGGAAGTGGGGTCAGCCCGTAAAAAGACTGAACGCCTTACAGGGGTGGGCCGAAGACTGCCGTTAAATTCGCACACAAAGTTCCCAAATCAGGTGTCAGGCGGAGAAGGATGAGAGCACAGAATAGCGGCTAGGTGGGAGACGTGTTAGGTATGTAGCGGTCTAAGTAGTGGCTATACTCAGATCGCTACAATCATCAGGCTGAACCCCAGGTGGAGGGCAAAAGGCAGGAGTCACCCGAATGAGGGCCTTATTGTGCACAGAACCCTATGTTGAGGGCAGCTGTTCTTACACGACTGTGAAGAGAGTTCAAGTGGTTTGCTACTGGTGTGTTGGAATTGCCCGAGGGGATGTCGAGTATTGAGGCTCATGCTGCGTCAGTTGAAGGGGCGCATGGAAGTGGTCCTTAGGCAGGCGTGCTTATTTGGACTCGCGTGTATGCGCGGCTGTGTGCGTGACTGAATGAGCTGGGGTCAACTGTGGGGAGGGTGCCATGCATCGGTGGAAGGCCTGTTAATCGTGGTGTTCTTTCGGCTGTATGTTCATGTTACCCCTGAGAAACCGCGACAAGCTGGGCACCAGGTGCTTGCGCGTGAAAGTCTGTCGAGCGATTTACGGTCAGCGAGTGGGAACAGTCGCGTGTGACTTTGGGGCGGCGAGCATTGGAGCACGAAGGCGAAACAGACACTGTGGCCGTTCGCCACAGGTATGTATGTATGTATGTTTGGCCCACATAGCCGCGACGCTAAGCAACTAAGTTGTGAGAGCTAATAGTGAGGAGACTGGTGTCAACACTCTCAAGACCTGCGATACGCACACAAAAGTGGTCAGGCTTGGACCTGTGGCGGACGGCCACAATGCATGTCCCCCCTTCGTTTTCCAAGGCCCGCTGCATCAA